ATCAGATGGTTTACTGCCCACACATCATAATGTGCCCCCCCCCCCGACCTTAGCAGCCCACCTTCCACCTCTCACACCGAAGTTCACGCTGCCGTAGCTTGTCTCCTGACATTCCCGCCGCAAGAAATGTCCACACCCACCTACCACAAACCGTTTCTTTTGTGAGGCCTTTCCTGGCCATTCCAGAGAAAATTAGCCTATGCCCCCTCTCCCCCCACCCTTCAGCACTTCATTCATCAAATCACAGACTATTTGAGCTCCAGGCAGGAGGCACCCAGCGAAGGAACAAGAGAAATCAGCGACCGGTCTCCTGGAGTTCCCTTCCGATGGGACGAACACACACACACACACACACACACACAGTGGGCTCTTCTAAGTATAGCACTGATCACACAGATGTGGAGCCAGTTTATGTGCCTGCTCCTGCTGAGGTGTGTGAACCCCTCAAGGCTGTGCGGGGTGTCGGATTCCCACGTGGACCCCCGGCACCCAGTCGTTAGAACTCGCACTCCCCGCTCCCCGGACTGCACAATCCAGCTTTGAGACGGGAGCAAACCAGAATTCCTCCCGCAGGGCCAGGAGCCTGGTTCTGACTAGCAATGTCCTCCCCCGCCCCTCCGCCCCCGGTGTTCTTTCTTGTCTGTTCACAGGACTGGGTGGCACAAAGTACATCTCCTTTGAGGAGCGACAGTGGCACAACGACTGTTTCAACTGCAAGAAGTGCTCCCTCTCCCTGGTGGGGCGAGGCTTCCTCACAGAGAGAGACGACATCCTGTGCCCGGACTGTGGGAAAGACATCTGAAGTCCACACCGCTGACTGCTGGCGACACTCACGGATTTATGTACGCTGTCCTTCTCAGCCAGGCAGTATTGCGTCTGGTCTCCACCGGCCGCGTTGAGACTCTCCTCTTGTGCTTTTCTCAGTGATATCCACGTTTGTTTAAACCCTTTAATCCTTTGTACTAGTTCAGTCCCAGGGAAGGAGGAAACCCCTGTGTAAACCCTCGGTGGGAAGCTGGTTTTGGAGTTTTGTAATCAAGCAAGGCAAATCCAAGTGCAAAAATCCTTTCGAATGACAGCTTTGTTAATGTATCTTTCTTTCACTGCGTATTTAATTTTTAAGTGCAATTAACATGTCACGAACTCGAGTTTCCCAAACCACACGAGATAATGCAGAGTAGGTATTTACAAGTATGTAACTTCCTGTCACGTAAGCCCTAAAGCAAGATTATACAGCTTACAATAAAGTTATCCCGAACAAAATGGCCACACAGCGTGTGAAACAATGATTAAACACTGAAGTTCTGAGCACCGCGGTATAAAACGCTTTATCGTATGTTCCGCCGATCGCTGTATGAAGTGCACGTTCAGACGGGCTGGGTCAGCGTTCACTGAAATTACATCACACCTTTCAGTGCAAAGAAGGCCTTCAGTCAGCAGCACAGCCTCTCTCTTGCTACCTTCTCTTTGTGCCTCTCTCCCACATTCTCTTGCTCTGCATTGGATGCAGCAGCATAAACTCCAGAATATGAGCAGCAGAAAATGCCAGTGAAGGCAGTTGGGGGGGGGGTCACTTTTTCTTTTTCTTTTTTTTTTTTTTAAACATTTTTTTTTTCCAACGTTTATTTATTTTTGGGACAGAGAGAGACAGAGCATGAACGGGGGAGGGGCAGAGAGAGAGGGAGACACAGAATCGGAAGCAGGCTCCAGGCTCCGAGCCATCGGCCCAGAGCCCGACGCGGGGCTCGAACTCACGGACCGCGAGATCGTGACCTGGCTGAAGTCGGACGCTTAACCGACTGCGCCACCCAGGCGCCCCTACTTTTTCTTTTTAGAGAAAGAGAGAGAGAGGATGCAAGCAGTAAAGGGAGGGACTCTTTTCAAGTTTGTTTACTTTTGAAAGAGAGTGAGCATGAGGGGCAGAGAGGGAGAGGGAGAGAACGAGAATCCCAAGCAGGCTCCACACTGTCAACACAGAGCCAGAGGAGGGGCTCAAACTCACAAACAGTGAGATCATGGCCTGGGACGAAATCAAGAATCAGACACTTAACTGACTGAGCCACCCAGGTGCCCATTGGGGTTTTTCTTTCTTTTTTCTTTTCTTTTTCTTTCTTCTTTCTTCTTCCTTCCTTCCTTTCTTTCTTTTTAAAAATTTTTAACATTTTTATTTTTGAGACAGAGAGAGAGCAGGGGAGGGGCAGAGAGAGGAGGAGAGAGAATCCCAAGCAGGCTCTGCACTGCGAGCACGGAGCCCGATGCGGGGCTCGAACTCACGAGTTGTGAGAGCGTGACCTGAGCTGAAATTCAAGAGTCGGCCACTTAACCGACTGAGCCACCCACGTGCCCCATTGGGGTCACTTTTGCTAACAGAGCTGAGTTCTTTCCCAATGCCATGGGTCCATATCCTACCTTGACTTGCCTTCTCGTTCATGAAGTGAAGGATTTCAAAAGGATACAAGCACCTTGAGGCCAGAGATGACCTCTTGTTCATCTGGGTATTCCCAACACCCTAGCAATTTAGGGCATGCTTTGGAAGCCTTCGGTGTTTCTGAAAGGGGGGAAAGGAGAGAGAGAGAATTGTGGCTATAAAGATATGAGCTCCTAGTTTGGCATTTGTCTGTGAAAGCATGGTATACGACCGGAAAGCACTGAGCCAATTTATGAGACACGGCAATGTGTATTTCTCTTTACAGAATGGTAACACTAGTGATTTTTGTCCTTAGTTTTCTGAGCACGGTACCATAAAACGATAGGCCATGCAACAGAAAACTCTGGTGGAAATCAAGTCCCACCCATGCTAGTATGTGTGAAGTCCGTCCCTTAAACTGAGTGCCAGTGCACGTGAGAAATGTCTGAGACAGGCCACCTGAGGACTCCACGACTCGCGAGTCGTTTTGCCTCCTCCTACTTCATGGGATAAAAGTGAAAACGTTCCTGCAAGTGTGCCTTTTGAAACAAAAATAACAAAATTCAAAACAAAAAGGTAAAAGCTTTGCAAATCTCATTGTGGAGCAGCTTACCTGTTCCTCATTAGACCAACAGAGACACTGGACGCGCCCAACCTTAAATTAATGGTAGGGGAGGTTCTACTTCTAGTAAGGAGCTCCTGTTGGGCTCCAATAACCTTCTGGACAAAAATATTTAAAAATCTTCGAAAACCCTGGTGCACGACCCAAAGCAGGAACACTTGGGAGGGGAGCAGATACCTGAAGAAGAGAATGGCAGTGGGTAGGTTTCCCATTTTCATGGCTTTTACCGAGGGGCGGGTCCCAAAGGGGAGCTAAAACTCTGTTAGAGAACCTACGGTCTTACTGGCTTGAAGACCCAAAGGCCAGAGCTTGGCACAAACTGTCTCTGCGAGGTAAGAGTGAAAAATGGTATGAAAAAAGAACCCCGAGTCCTCATGAAATCCCTACCAATCTCTGGCTGACCGCTAAATCACATGCAGAGGCTAGACTCTGAGTAGCCCAGCCAAGGCTCAAAGGTTGGGATTTTCGGGATGGTGGTGTGCAGAGCTCCGAGACTCTCTTCCCAGTGTAACCATGTAATTGGGAGAACTATGTGCGTGTGTGTGTACCAAATAAATACCTTCCACTCTTGGAAAATTACCCTAAAGGTGAGCAGCAAGTGGAGAAACATGCAGGGAAATCTATAGGTTATAGTAAGAAGAGTGAGAGTCTACAGCATTTGACCACGGACTGATCCCACCGCACCCCTGCCCCCAGTTTCATGTGACAAAAGCTCTACTCTGGGCAAGTGCAGCCAAGAAGGTAAAGGCTTCTACTGTTCTAGGGCTGTGCCCCAGGCATGACAGTCTGACAATCCTGGGATTCCCATCACTCCTGCTCCAGCCTGCCCACAGGGTGGAGGCTCCATGTTAAGACGGACAGTCTGAGAAGCCCAGAGGCTACTCCTAGGAGGAGGATTGTGTGAAGACGTTTATTAGGATGATGTTGGTATGTTCCGCTAAGGATACCGGTCCTCTCTGTCGAGCACCTACTCATAGAGGTGAAGCCAGACACCGTCCAGCCCCGAGGTGTGGGTGTAAGTGGCAGCTTTGGGAACTAGTAGCTCCGCAGCTCTGCAGGAAGGGACTATTTGGTACCAAGAATGGAGGAATCTGTGCCTAAGGGGACTATCAGAAACAGTGGGGATCTTGGTGGCAACTGACTGAGAGGGGGATGGTAGGTATAGGATACTAGCAGCAAAAAGCAAAATGGCAGATGAGCCAGGAGTTTAATGGAGAGAACCAGGGAAAGAGACAGGTAGGGAGAGCCCTCCTGGGATCCCACTTACCCCTAGGGTTCTGGAAGACCATAGGCATGTACCCCGTGGATTGTACCCACTCCGGAGCAAACAGTGTGGGGGTCCAGAAGACCATGGGCATGTACCCCGTGGGTTTTACCCACTCTGGAGCAAACAGAGCGGGACCCAAAGACCATTGAAAGCATTCTCCAAGTCACACACAGATCATCAGCAAAGAGCATCTTATTAGCTCAAAGGGCTTACGCAGAAACCTCGAACCAAATGCTGGCCAAACATATAAACATGTTCAAAAAACTGAAGGAACATATATAATAACAACTCTCATCAGAGAACGCCAATAAAGAGATAAACATTATTTAAAAATCAAATGGAAATTCTGGAGTTGAAAAGTATAATAACCAAAATGGAAAATTCACTAGAGGGGATCAACACTACATTTGAGTTGAGAGAAGAAAAAAAAAATCAGTGAACCTGAAGATAGATCAACAGACATTATGAAATTTGAAAAATGGGGCAAATGAGGAAAAATTAACAGAACCTCAGAGCAACGTGAGACAATGTTGAGAACCAACATAGGTATAATGGGAGCATCAGGAGAGGAAAGAGAAAAGGGACAGAAAGAAATACTTTAAAAATTAATGGCTGAAAACTTCCCCAAGTTTGATGAAATTTTTTTAACCTACTCACCCATTCAAGAAGCTGGACAAACTTTAGGGGAGAGACTTTGATGTTTGAGGCCAGCCACATCAAAACCTGGGTCTAGGGGCACCTGGGTGGCGCAGTCGGTTAAGCGTCCGACTTCAGCCAGGTCACGATCTCGCGGTCCGTGAGTTCGAGCCCCGCGTCGGGCTCTGGGCTGATGGCTCAGAGCCTGGAGCCTGTTTCCGATTCTGTGTCTCCCTCTCTCTCTGCCCCTCCCCCGTTCATGCTCTGTCTCTCTCTGTCCCAAAAAATAAATAAACGTTGAAAAAAAAAATC